GAAATTGCATGGAGAGACTCCGATTGGAGATCAGAAATGGGAGTTGAACACAAGTTGGCCGCAATGAAGCGACAATAATACAAGCGCTGTTGTTTTGACGCATGCCAGTCGAGTGCCAGTCGAGTGAATTACTTCACGATAAGTTTGCATGTAATATATATGAAGTGCGGATATTGGCCATTTACAACTTGATTGTTAAATTGGGAACAGCAAAGAGGAAAAGGAAAGGTTGCGGAAGCAGTACAACTTCTGTTTGCAATAATTTCTACGAATATTAAAAGCTTTGCTTATTAGGAACTCGTAGCTTCCGGATGCGACTCAAAACAGCGATGATGATTTACCCTAAATGCATGTGTATATCGCATCCGTTACTGCCTGTGGTAAAAATTCAGAGCCAAAATGTTTTAGTAATTTCGAACGACAATTTCAGAATCTTTTTCTAAAGTTTGAACAGCATCAGAACACAATGAGAACATGTTTATCACAGTTCAAGCATAACAAAGCAGCATGAAGCTCTATGTACTTATAATATAATTTATTATATGTGTATAGAGATTTATGCACAGGAAAATGATGAAATAAAAATCATATTTCACTGTGTAAATTAATTTCATGCAATTTGATTGGACGTACGATGTTTTTCACGTGTGAAAAAATGCCATACACGATTTTTGATTGGACGTACGATATTCTTTACACGTGAAAAATTGTCGTATGTCATTTTGGCGGCAAATGTCAATATGTCAATTGTCGTATGTCAATTGTCGTATGTCATTTTGGCGGCATTGTCGTATGTCAAGATGGCGTCGAAATATAGGAGTGAAATTCAAAACATAATTCTCATATTCACGATATTTTTACATTCAGCACATTCTCAAATCTTTCGGAAAGAATATCTAACTGCTATTGAACAAAATTACAAAGAGACTGGACGGTAATAAATATGCTTTGATGGATAAAGTTTCGATTTTGTTTCTCGCTGTGTTTTTGTATATTAAAAGTGTGCCGTTGTCAAATTGATCTCTATACACATTTAATAAACAAATTACTTCATGGTTGGCTCGTTTGTACGATTTTTATTATGCACTCGTTGCGAAGGATCGCAAACTCACTCGTTCGCTGCGCTCACTCGTTCGTTTTGCGATCCTTCACAACTCGTGCATAAAAATCGTACGCACTCGCCAACCATGAAGTAATCTCTATGTATACTTATCTTTTCCATAATTCCATTACTGTCTATTTTTACCAATATTCATTATCATAAGGCAGGAATGTAGCTTAACACGATGTAAATAATAAAAGCTGACTGTTTGAAGAAGCCCGCGATCTTTGGTTTACTATAATTAATCCATCACTTTTGCAACTGCTCTGAGCATCATTTCCTGACCTTCGCAGTCGAAGCTTATTAAAAAATATTTTCCCTATAGTATTACTGTATTAGTTAGTTAATAGTACTTCATCTTAAGTCTGTTGTTGTACAGCATCCAAATTCTAAAAGGCTTTTTAAGCTTTGCAGATAATGTATTGTTTTGTTACACTGTAAGTTGTACCAGGTGATAAAATTTGCAAATAACTACCTCAAATAAGCAGTTCGCATGTCCAAGCCGGTGAAATACAGATTACACATAGGTACAGTTGAATGAGGTAATTTCAAACGGAAATAGCTGACAAGCTTACGTCGATTCAAGAACATAATTATGAATAATTTATTAACCCGTCTTTATATCTGTGACTTTGTAATCTATAAATTTGACATCGCTATTTTGGAAAAATCGCTTTAGCCACTTTCGTGCAATAATCTGAGGTGATTTACCTACCAGAGCCAGAATTTAATTACCTTTGTATACTAAAATATTATTGCTCTAGAGAGTAAATGGTTGGAATTGACACAGACATATTCAGTATATTGCCGTTTTCTCGTTTCCTGTGCAATTTCATAAAACAACATTTTTGTATTGTACTCCTATAAATTCTTATTATTGAATATTTTGTTAGCTGAGCTCCGTTGAACTTTTGTTCTGCGAGATATATTCATGATCATGATGAATCTAATTGGATGGTGGAAACCGAAACATAATATTCTAAAATCTAAATCTTTGGATGAAATTGACGAAATTGCAAGTGGAAAGATTTTCAAGATTCGTTACTTGGGCTGTTCCCATTTGGAGCCAAATGAAGAATGTGATTTCAACACAGCTGCGGATGGCATTTTACTAAATCTTACACCAAGTATTGCAAGGAAAATGCCTACTTTAGAGCTTTTTATTGATTCCCAATCTTTAACAATAATTGACAAAAATTCAGCAAATGGTATCCTCCTTGAAACACAACTCGCGGATATAAGAGAAATATTTTATCGAAAGAAAGATTGTAATTACGGAAAGATTTGCATATTTGTCGCCAGACATACGGGATTAAGCTCTGGACTAAAAGCTCATGTACTGTATTGCGATTCATTTAACATGGCGGAAGAAGTCTTCAACACATTCTCAAATGCATTTAAAGTATTCAGTCAAGATGATGGCAAACACTCAAAGTAGTATTGAACAAGAAATATTGCAAACACATTATTATGAGGGACTTATTCGTCAACCCAAATTTAAACTGGGCGCAGAGGACGCTAATGAATTTAATGATGAAATAAATTAGATCACAATCTTTAGGCCTAATTTAAATAGAACTTGTTAAATTTCCCAATTATTTTTTTAAGAAGTCAAGTTTTTAACTTTTCAACTTGCATAAATTTCTCCGATATATTATTTGTACTCTTCATGTCTTCTCTCAACACATTGTAGGGTTATTATCATAATACACGAGATACTGGGTGTATCTTATAATCGATCATAGATGACGGAAAACCTTTACTCAATATTCATACCGCTGGGTTGGCCTTGAGAACTGCAGGGGTTCTGGTTGCAGGCAAATGTAGCAGCCACTGATCGGTCTACATGTTTCTATACTGATATTTGCGTAAGCGTCAAAATCATGAATAACCCCCCGTCCGGTGTTTGCAAATTCGTTGCTTCAGTTGATGAGCAATCAAGGCTCACATTCAAGTGCCGCAAAACCATTTAAAAAGGGGAGGAATTGAAAAAAGGTCACTTCTCATATAGAAATATATCACATTTACCCCCATATATTAGCAAAGACTGTGAAACTCACTGAATTACTTTACGTAATTATTAATTGCAACTGCAATGAAATATTTTGCTACATACAAATCTCTATTGAGTCTGAGATCATGTACTCCGGTACATGTATACATATTTACTTACCTACGTGTCTTCCTACTTATTCACCTACCTACCTACCTACCTACCTACCTACCTACCTACCTACCTACCTACCTACCTACCTGCCTACAAGCTATTCACCTATAGTACCTACCTATTAACCTATTTGACTGCCTACTTACCTACCAGCCCTGCTGTCGGCCTATTTGCCCACATGCCTGCCTGGCCACCTGACTGGATACCTGACTGTCTGCCTGACTACATGCCTAGCTGAGTGCCTGCATGGATACCATACTGCCTGCCTGCCTAGCTGAGTGCCTGCATGGATGCCTGACTGCTTGCCTAGCTGTGTGCCTGCATGGATACCTGAATGCCTGCCTAGCTGAATGCCTGCATGGGTACCTGACTGCCTGCCTGCCTAGCTGAGTGCTTAAATGGATACCTGACTGCTTGCCTAGCTGAGTGCCTGCATGGATACTTGATTGCTTGCCTAGCTGAGTGCCTGCATGGATGCCTGACTGCCTGCCTAGCTGAGTGCCTGCATGGATGCCTGACTGCCTGCCTAGCTGAGTGCCTGCATGGATACCTTACTGATTGACTGCTTAGCTGAGTGCCTGCATGGATGCCTGACTGCATGCCTAGCTGAGTGCCTGCATGGATGCCTGACTGCCTGCTTAGCTGAGTGCCTGCATGGATGCCTGACTGCCTGCCTAGCTGAGTGCCTGCATGGATGCCTGATTGCCGGCCTAGTTGAGTGCCTGCATGGATACCTGACTGAATGCCGGCCTAGCTGAGTGCCTGCATGGATGCCTGACTGACTGCCTAGCTGAGCGCCTGCATGGATACCTGACTGACTGCCTAGCTGAGTGCCTGCATGGATACCTGACTGCCTGCCTAGCTGAGTGCCTGGATGGATACCTGACTGCCTGCCTGCCTAGCTGAGTGCTTAAATGGATACCTGACTGCTTGCCTAGCTGAGTGCCTGCATTGATACCTGACTGCCTGCCTAGCTGAGTGCCTGCATGGATGCCTGATTGCCTGCCTAGTTGAGTGCCTGCATGGATACCTGACTGACTGCCGGCCTAGCTGAGTGCCTGCATGGATGCCTGACTGACTGCCTAGCTGAGTGCCTGCATATTGATGCCTGACTGCCTGTCTGCCTAGCTGAGTGCCTGCATGGATGCCTGACTGACTGCCTAGCTGAGTGCCTGCATATTGATGCCTGACTGCCTGTCTGCCTAGCTGAGTGCTTGCATGGATACCTGACTGCTTGCCTAGCTGAGTGCCTGACTGCCTGCCTAGCTGAGTGCCTGCATGGATACCTGATTGCCTGCCTAGCTGAGTGCCTGCATGGATGCCTGACTGCCTGCCTAGCTGAGTGCCTGCATGGATACCTGACTGATTGCCTGCTTAGCTGAATGCCTGCATGGATGCCTGACTGACTGCCTAGCTGAGTGCCTGCATGGATACCTGACTGACTGCCTAGCTGAGTGCCTGCATGGATACCTGACTGACTGCCTAGCTGAGTGCCTGCATGGATACCTGACTGACTGACTGCCTAGCTGAGTGCCTGCATGGATGCCTGACTGACTGCCTGCCTAGCTGAGTGCCTGCATGGATGCCTGACTGCCTACGTACATAAGCAAACTCCTATAAAAAGGTTTTAGTTCCAATTCACAGATTTTAAATAATTTTTATACATTTCAGGAGCATATAGCTGTCCTACTAGACACTTGTAAATAAAGCAAAAATTAATAGAATAGCACACAACCTTTATGAAAATGTTAGAGCGAGAATAAAACAATGCAATTGCTGAAAAGTATTTATTGGAAAAATTTATGTAATTTTGTTATTTATTTATTTATTTATCGACAAAATGGTACCTTGTTAAGAAGACTGATGCGATTTATTTTTGTACTAACTACGTCATTGGGCTATTTGAACTCGATCTTATAAATCGTGAATCCAATGTCCTTGCGTCTTTTCTTTTATTTCAAACGAGGCAGTAAACGTGACGTAATTATCGAAGGTCAAATGTAATTATAGGCTTATAGCTAACACAAGACAGACAGTGAATATGGAAAAGTAACTGTTAAACAGCTAACAAAACGAGGTGAATGATCTTAGAAATAATTGATCTTAGAAATAATCATGAATTAGCCTTTTCTTAATTCATCTTTGCTTGATCTTTCTATTGGTACTCTGAACACTAATAAAACCTGGCACGGGTACCAGTCGTGCCTTGTCAATAAATTGAGTGTACATGTAGTGTATGTAAACAAGGCTTAAATTATATTGTAGCGTAAGGCGCCTGCAGTATTTATATGGACTTTGCAGATGATTTCCTAAAATATCTAATTGATTATATCTTTTGTTCTTCCTTGTGAAACTAGTCGAACTTTGCAATTAGGTTCAGTAATAAGAGCGTAAATTGAAAGCGAAATAGAGGATAGTTTTCAACCGAGAAATGAATTTTCATTTCACAACTAGTCCAAGTCCTTTTTCGCCATTTTAGATAAATGAATAACGATCCTACAATGTATCACGAATGTTCAATATTGACCATGGATTTTAGCTGCTGCTTTAGCTATATAGAATATGCATCTCATGGTATTTATGGTAATGATACAGAAACCAAACCGAGATTTAATTTCTTGATCTATCCCTCGATATATTATTAAGGCTATGACTCTGGGTTTGGAAACTTTTCGTACAAGAGCGTTCTAATTATGGAGCGTCGAACCCTGGCAAAAGTTGCCTACACAAATCATGCACTACATTTCAAAACTTTACTTTTGCTCAAATGATTCACTCTACTTCGGGTAAAACAGGTACCCTTGGCATCAATGACCTTCTCTTGGACATGGTTACCCCAGGAGGATGTGTGGTAACGGGTGGTGTTTCTGAACTAGCTCCAAACAGATGACTTTCTCGTCGGCTTAATCGCCTTGGTAACGAGTTACTTCTCTCATCAATAATTTGAATACTACACAGCTGTTTGTCAGCTTCGTCAGCCTTACTAATGGAACATCGGACGGGGGGAGCAATGCTTCCCCGGTCACTGAAAACCAAATCAGTTTTAAGCGCATTGTCAGCGTTTACCAAGATTCTTCTTCGCTTTTTAGGCAACTTTAGTCTGGCTTGAGCATGTGAGTAATAAAGCGAAAAGTTGTTTACGATAACTGGTACAGGTAATGCGATCATAAGTACACCACATATAGCACAAAATGATCCCACAATCTTACCCTGGATTGTGACAGGGACTACGTCGCCGTAACCGACGGTTGTCATCGTCACAATGGCCCACCATCCAGCTGCGGGAATACTGGTGAACTTAGAGTTTGGAACATCTTTCTCGCAGTAATAGATCAGGCTTGAGAATATTACCACGCCAATCAAGAGGAAGAACACGAGTAGTATAAGCTCTCTTACGCTAGCTTTCAATGTATGACCTAATATTTGAAGGTCAGTCGAGTGCCTTGATAACTTGAAGATCCGAAATATTCGAATCAAGCGGAGAACAAGTAGGATTTCCACCTGAGCATTACCGTTTGATGATTCTTTACTTGTATTGCTGCTGCTGATAGATAAGCTGATGTAGAAAGGGATAATTGCCAGAAAGTCAATCCAATTCATGATGTTTTTTAAGAATGACTTCTTGTCCGGGCAGAAAATAAGACGGACTGTCAATTCTATAGTAAACCAAGCAACGCAGATACCTTCGATGATTAGAAGTGATCTATATCTGTCGTCCTGACTGAAATACTCCAGCGACTCCAAGCAAACAATGACAACCGAGAGTATGATAAACATCAAGGACGTGTAGCCAATAATCTGAAAATATATAGCGTTTGGGCAGGGGTTATATAGATTGGATTAGAATTGGCGCGACATTTGGGTTACAGATTGGATTGGGCCCAAGCTCAGGGTCACAGATTGGAATGGGGTCAGAGTTAAGTTTACAGATTTGATTTGGGACAAGATTGAGGTGAGAAATTGGATCAGGTTAGCTTTGGGTTACAGATTGGACTGGGTTTATCATCAGCGTTGGTGACACTTACGTTGTTTATAAACCTCTCAGCTTAGACATTTTCACCTTTCCTTAAGATCACCAATTCTACGATGCGGAAATGACATGAAATCAGCCGAAATTGTTAAATACACAGTTGTAATTAGTTTTACATAGCTGTGACCATGTTTATCAAGAGAATTCCATAATTATTCCTGTTGCGAAACTGACAGAATGAAGACAGTATTACTTCGCATCCGCATCGTAGATTTCGTGTATCTTAAGGTCCATATTACAAAATGTTGCAACTTCATTGGGTTGTTACAACATGCAGCAACTTCATAGTTATGGTAATGTGCATTATGCTTCAAGTTTCTGCAACATTGAGCAACCATCGTTGCTTAATCCATTCGCATCTTATTGTTCGCCTTCAATTGCGACACTAAAGGCTGACGATGGTCTCCTAGGTCCATATTTAATAATTAGTTTTATTACATTTTGTCGGCAGTGCCCAACGTTTGCCGCAGATTAGAAAATACTGATGCAGAGCTTGAGGTAGCTGATCAAAGCATGCACCGCGACGACTGGGAATAAAAATTAACTGCGCAGTTTAACAACTACCTCAAAAACCATTTCTTCGCTGTTCGTCTAGCTCGATTAGGACTTGGTTGTTCGTTTCACCTCTTCAACCAGTCAACTGCACTTCGATGTACACGCGTTACCGTCCGAATGAAATGAAATATTACATATGCATGTAAATATTGCGATGCCGGATTACATATGAATTATTGACATTGTAGTACATACGCAGATAAAAAACCACAGATAAACGAATTTATTGAAATTCCATGTCAAATCATGCCGCATCGGAATTCAAAAAGCATTGCTGCAGCAAAATTTTCAAAAGATTCTCGAAAGGGGTAAATTTGGGGTAAAAAATATACCGAGTTTTAAGTGAATTATTTTCGACCATTCTGAACCTTAACATTTGTCTATCAGAGATGCCAGTTTATAATTCTCTTTAACTAACAATTTGGAATGCCAACGGCGTACGTTGCTTCAGTCCGAAAAAAAAATAAACCAGTGTTTCATTTTATACTTCGAAACTTTGTGCGCTTTATATACATGCACCCGCTATGGACTATAAAGATTAATTGATAATAATATAATATTAAACTGCAGTAATTGCAAAAATACCACTAATTCTTTAGATTAAAATATGCTCGAGCTCAACTGAGACCAAAAACTTTCATTCGTTTTCACAGGTTTAAAACGATGATCTGGTTTAGAGCTGAACTTCGTTAGACAAATTTAACATATTTTGAAATAAAAATCCATGCATAAAATCATATTGAAATCCCAAGATGGCTACATTTACAGCTGCCTGCCCATATATCTTGCAAAATTCCATGTCTTTCAGGTTCTTCTATAAGGCTATAAATTTTATTTTAACGTTTCTTTGCAGTTCATATTGCGTCATTGCTCCGAGGCAAACGTCGAACATTTCAGCATTTAAACTATTGCCGTCGCTTCTATATTTAGGCAAAATACTGGCTGACACATTCTACATTTTTTTTTCTCACCTTTGCGAGCCTTGAGGACTGTGGATCATCCATGAGAGACCAAATCTTCGGCTGATATCTTTCCCAACATCTCGGCCTGACATTCACATCTTCCTCGCACATGTCAAACGTGTCCTCGTCTTCAAAATCATTTTGAAATTCGATACCCTCAAAAGCTTTCAACGTGTCCTGAGCGTCCCTATGCTGTCGATATGTTAACCAGCAACAAGATTCGACTTGTTCGTCGTCAATTCCCCAAAAACCAAGTTCTTCCTCGTAAAGAGGCCCACAAACATCCAACGGTGCATGAAGCTTTCCTGTACGATAATAATTTAAAACTGCTGCAAACACCGCTGGATGGCGATCGAAGAAATATTCATCGCTTTCAGGGTCAAAATCAACCTGTGCTGTAGTCTCTGTAATCCACGATAATCTTGTATCAGGAATGTTTTTCAGAGTCGTTTTGTACGTCTCGTGAACCTGTCCGCCAACGTTAATTTTAACTCGTTGCTTTTGTGTCTTTATCATAGGCACATCATTTGATGTTTCAGAATTATCGCTTCCTCTGCCAGAATCCTCGCCCGAAGTGCATCGTTCTGAAATGTTACCTTTCTCGATAATTTCCTTTTTCTGCTCCGTTATTTCATCGGTATTTACTTTAACTGCTCGAGTGTTTTCTTCAGAACAACTTCGTATCTGTAACTCCATATCTTTGTCCGTGCTATTCATTACGTCTTGTTCTCAGTGTTTAAAATAATTCTAAACAAACCACGATTGACAGTATATAAGTCCTGAAAAAAGTGTTTATCCGTACAGCCTTCTGTCTTCTTGTGCCTTTTACGTAAACCCGAGTAAAAACCAAGGTAAACGAGATCTCCTGGGCAGTATGATCAAATGCCGTTGAAGCTGTAATATTCTGTCCAAATTTAATATGTTTTCAAACAAACGCTGTACGCTTCAAGGTTCGATCCCACGATTAAAGATCAAAGACATAATAATACATTTGCCGTTTCGGGTTTGTTCTTTAACCTTCCTGATATAATCTTTAAATATGTTATTCGTAATAAATTTGAGTAAAAGCGGTTAAAACCGTTATTTGGTGGTCGATAAATGCTGTTGAAGGCTAGAATATATTTTCCAAAAGAGCAGGTGTAAAATTTTAATTGACCGCAGACGAATGTACAGATAATTGAAACGAACGCATTTCGAAATAAAAATCTTCTGCCAGTGATGTTCTTTTGCTTTGTTTAATAGATTTCAACCAAACTCGATTCCTTCTCTTCAAATTCACCAGAATTCATTCGACGGTGGAATTTCAGTTTCCAGCAAATCGAAAATATTTATAATTCAAAGGCGACCGTTGCTCTAATTTCCATATAAAATCAACAGAATAGGATGACAAATTTCTCAAAGTCTTATAATATTTATTATGTTCAGTCTCGTCAGCCAATAGGAGACGCTTGCCACCAGACTGTACAAATGCACCTGCAGAGTGGATTATGAATATTTAAGCTTTTTTTTAAATTAATTCAAATTACATAACAAGGGACGATGTCTGTCTTGCGCCTTGGATTCTGTCCAATATGCGAAAATTTTAAGTAAAAACTAGGTAACTAAGACAACCGTGAAAGTCAATAAATTATATGACATGTATATATATATATATATATAATACGTCATTGATAGAAATTTGAAGTTTTGTAATTAATAATCTTTTCTAATTTTTATAATTTCGTAAGACACATCAAGAAAACTGCCCTGAAGTTTATTTATTAAAAGAATGAAATAATTCTGTTTCTATGTATAATTATGGGATACGTGCTTTAAATTAGCGAGATTCCCTCTAGAAAATACCTAATAACTTACGTTGATATCTTTTGCGGCAGAGAATTTAAAATATTTTATAATTTTTCCTGTTTTCAACTGCATGTCTGCCGTGAGTTGACGGGGGGAGTTTGCGAATTAAAGCTGCCTAAAAAGCGGGGAAGAATCTTGGTGAAACCGAGAATGCGCTTGAAACTGATTTGGTTTTCAGTGACCGGGGAAGTATTGCTCCCCCGTCTGATGTTCCATTAGTAGGCTGACAAAACTGACAAACATATAATGTAGTATTGAAATTAGCAATGCGAGAAGTAATTCGTTACCATGGCGATTAAGTCTGCGACAAAGTCATCTGTCTGCAGCGAATTCAGAATAAGACTTCACGCGCTCGCAGTAGCGAACCCAGCCATTGTGCATGCGGTTACTCTGTCTCCTTTGCTCCACTGAAAATACGTATCTTTAGTGCATTCACAAGCCGCAAATTTAGTCACAAAATCAGTTGTAGCTAACACTATAACACCTCAAGATTGTCCCCCCAAAAAATCCTCAAATTTTATTGGCAGAATTTTTTACTTATACCAAAATTCCTAGCAGTTTATGAAGTTGGAACTTTGAGAAAATATTTAAGTTCCTATATTTAATTTAAGTATCTCATAAACATGGGTCTGTTGAGATTCATTGCCCTATAAATGTTCTACAATTTTTATTTTGTACGGTCTAACCTGTGTACCTGTGTAAGAGTCCAACCAGTGTAGGGGGCTAACCTGGTATCAGGGCCTAACCTGGTGTAGGGGTCAACCTGGTGTAGGGTCTAACCTGGTGTAGGGGCCTAACCTGGTGTTTGGGTCTAACCTGGTGTAGGGGTCTAACCTGGTGTCGGGGTCTAACCTGGTGTAGGGGCCTAACCTGGTGTAAGGGCCTAACCTGGTGTAGGGGTCTAACCTGGTATCAGGGCCTAACCTGGTGTAAGTGTCTAACCTGGTGTAGGGTCTAACCTGGTGTAGGGTCCTAACCAGGTGTAGGGTCCTAACCAGGTGTAGGGGTCTAACCTAATGTAGGGGCCTAACCTGGTGTAGTGGCCTAATCTGGTGTAGGGGTCTAATCTGGTGTAGGGGCCTAATATGGTGTAGGGGCCTAACCTGGTGTCTGGGCCTAACCTGGTGTCGGGGTCTAACCAGGTGTATTCCTTTATGTCCGTGTTGTACATTTTGAATAGCGAGCTTAATACACACAAGAGTCTAGATCTAGAGATAGAACGCGAACAACAAGTTGGAAGGTATAAGAAACAAATTTATGTTGGATTACTGATATCAGCGGCTGTTTTATATCACGTCTGCACATAGCAAAAGATAGTTACAGTGATAATGCACCAGCATCGTAAATAGCTGTGTAGGTGTAAGGCCGCTCAGACGGGAGGGAACCAAACGGACAATTTGCCCCGGGTCCCTAAAGAGTAAAATTAAATTATTGTTAGAAGTATATAGGGCTCCTTTAGAAAACGTTTCGGGTTGTTTATAGTTCAGGTAATGCAATATATATTCAATATTGCAAAAAACGCACCCCCAAATCGTGCAAATTATATTTGTTGCACTCTAAAATCTCAAAATTTTCTCCAAAAACTCTAGATTTTCTCTTCATCTTCCCCCAAACACCCTTAATTTAATCCCCCAAAATTTACCTTTCTTTTCACCCTCTCAAGTTTTTGCCCTCTCTTACATGAACTTATTACAGCGTTTTTTACTGCTGTAGATTTTGGGTCCCTAACGAAAATTTTGCCCCGGGCCCCCAAAATTCTCTCGGCGGTGCCATAATTTTGCTCAAACTATGGGCCTTGTTTTGTCATTTGGGATTCCTCAAGGGTCGAAAATTTTTTTTTGGCGTAATTATTTCAGGTATCTCCTCTCTTTACATGGTATACAATGTCATGCACTGGTAATAATATGAATCATCCTCGTCATGTCTTGAGCTTAATAGTAATGACATCCACTAGTGAATCACCAAGTAAATTCAGTCATAGGTGGAATAGTACAATTGCAAAGTAGCCAGTCGTTAGAATGAAACCCGTCAACGGTAAACGCGTTACGAGCTAGTGGCTTAATGGAAGGTGTAATTTACAATGCGGTATGCTACAGAATTACTGGTCGAGATTACGAACATCTCTCTCGATCATTATCTGCGTGGCAGGTGGTTGCGGGTGGGAATTAAACTTAAAAATTAACATAAATAATACACTTAATTACGTAATACATGCATGCAGTAAACAGCTTGTCTATTTCATTTAACTAAAGGGTTTTAGCGTAGTAATCTAACAATATGTCGTCTATCGTGACAAGCATTTTAAGCTCAACTGTAGGTTTGTTGTGGAACAAGGCTCTAGACTCGACGGCAGCGAAATTAAAAGATGGCGATGTTACCGATGCAAAAATTCGGGAGTTTATTGTTGGAGAGTTGAATGACTTTAAGACAAAACTTGATAGCCTTTCCCGCAAAGATCTTCTCAGCAGCTATAGTTTCCTAAAAGAAGGTGTTGATCTTCTCAGCGTTTCTCTTAATAAATCAAAGCCTCGCTGTGAAGCTGTTGTGAAGAACGCGACGGGTGAAGACATTCCTGATGCATCAAGGACATTGGCCGCATTGCCGAGCAGTTTTAAGCCCGGGATCTTCAACGACGCGTTAGAGCTTTCCAGCGCTATGAGGGAATTTAAAATCAGCCCGGATAACGAGTTTCGAGCCGCTAAAGAACGATTCAAAGACTCCCGGAGGAGAGCAAGTGATGCTTTTTGTATCGATTCACTTAGCATCAACGATAAAATCTTTGCAGCTAAACTACGTGTCGTTTCTGAATTGCTGGAGTGTCTTGAACGTCCTGAAACTGCAATCGTAGGGTGTCTGTCGTTTTTAAAGATGCTTCATAGCCTACCTGCTATTCAGGAGATGTTTTCAGTGTATCTTAACGGTGGAGTTAAATCACTGTTGAATAAAGCTGAGCGGGTGGAAAACGTGAAGTCTGTCATGCTAATTAATTATGTATTATATCAACATGCTTCGAAATTCAGCACTGAGTACTCATGTCTGCTTGCCTGGCCAGAAATCGAAGTGACCTATCGCAGATTTCACCCGATATTGAACTGGCAAGAGATTGCGACTCGAAAATCCATGGGGGAAGAATTGAGTCAACATCCCAACAAACTACTGCTTGATGACGAAATATTTCCTCAAATATCCGCTGTTAACGGTCACGGTGATGTTGTGTTTGGGCAAGGCGACTGTATCATGATTATCTCCAGAAAGGTTGAGAGCAAGGTGATCAAATTACCTGAGCCCAAAGAAGGTAAACTTATCGGTCAACGTATTGTAGGAGTTGCTGTTGACAAGAACAACAACGTTTACGTTTGTTCACTACTCGAAACAGCTACAAAAAATGTCTATATTGAAAGTTATATCTTGTATATTTTAAACAATGATACATACGACGTCAAGCACGATCTCATGTTGGAATTTCTTGAGGCCCACGAAAGTTTGTTAGTTTTCGTGAACTTAGTTATAAACAGAAATGATGAGATCATCTTGATAAGGGATAGTGATCCTCATGTGTATGTCTTCGACAACACTGGACGGTTGAGCCAAACGTTTGAAGCGTTTTCATATTCATTACCAAACTTGAGCATTTCAGGACGGGATGAAATTATTATTGCCGATAACACTAGCATACGTGTGTACACAGAAGAAGGGACTCTAAAGTCGACAGCAGAAGTGAAAGACGGTCATGAAGTACTTGGGGTTGCATTTCACTACTGTCTCTGTAAAATAGTTGTATTGACCTTTGTTAAGAAGGAATCATGCTGTTACCTTCTCTGTTTCTCAGAATCAGGCGAGCTTGAAACCACGTCGTTGTTGTTTAAATATACTGCTATCGATAATATGACATTGAATGATTATCCCCAAATTGTTTCTCACTCAAATGGCCCTGTCCTTGTGATAGAAAAGAAATGCATATACTTCATTTCCTAGAAAAAACTGTAGCAAATGCTTTAGCTGGGGCGTATCAAACGAGTCAGGATGAGGGGGTTGGGAGATTTTCATATTGCTCATCGAATTTTTCGATTCATGTATACAACTGCATCTGACTAGCAAAGTATATTAACATAGATACATAATAATTGTACTTTATAATAACTGTATACAAAATTAACTTTTTCTCCTTTTCTGTGCGGGATGGCTCCCATTTAAGGCCATGTTACACGGTGCAATTTTCTTGCAATGCAATTCTACTTTTAAGATAAAATTATGTAAATTTGGTAACTATACAGAACTTTTGTCTTTTTTTACTCCAGGGCGCTTCGTACAATAACTCTTCACTAACTTAAATCTCTTAAAAATAGAATTGCATTGCAAGTTGCAAGAAAAATTGCACCGTGTAACAGGGCCTTTAGTCAAAATTGTCGTCAATGTGGCTAATGCAAAGGAATATTTTCTATACCTGTGCATTTGGTTAACAAACCATTGACGACCCTTAAATTTTCTTACCAAAACTGCCTTTACATGGTTAAGTATACTTGTAATTTTACAGTTGAAAGAATAAATAATTTGTATCTCTGTACACAATTATTGTGATGACAGTAATATTAAAAAATATTAAAAAAAGGAGTTAATTGCTGTAATAATCTTCGAAAATATTTTCCTCAAACGTTTTAGGAAATCGTGTTCAATATTTTCACGACCTCCATCATTTGAATCTTTCCACGTCGAGTCCATTCCATACTCTTGTTTACAGCTTTTTCTTGGAATATGAAGTATTTTTATCTCATAACGTATTTCTCCTGGGGCTCCATAATTTGCTGGATATATGGCGTCCACCTGACGGTCAAATATCACACAAAAAATCGAGTCAGTTCAATAATTATTTGGTTATTGACCAACAACTTATATTCGACGTGAGACAATTTCAAAATCTATGCTAACGTGTTCTTGTCAAACGCTGTTTGTGTTTTCCGCATCTTTTTCGTCGAAAATTTTCTGAACATCGTTTTAGTTAGAAACTTGTGTAAACGTCGTCGCTATGCATTGTTGGAATTTTTCAAAAATTTGCTTTTGCTAGCCAGGGCCGTAGCTAGAAGCTTAATTGGGGGGGTGCATATTCATATATTCGTCTTATGCCCGAATGATTTCTTTTGTATGCTATTGTTCCTATGGTATATAAACATGAATATATGAATATACACCCCCCCAATTAAGCGGTCTAGCTACGGCCCTGTTGCTAGCGTCAACATGGATTTGAAGAAAATATTGTAGAAAAAAATCCTAGCTGATCCCACTATGGCTGTTGCTAGAAGTTTAGTCCCGGTGTATATTCAGGCGTACATTGGTCCTATTTCCGATTCAGTTATTTTGTAGCCTACGCGCCATTGTTTCAATAATATATAAACATGAATGTATAACCCCCACCCCGGAAATAAGTTGTCTAGCGACGGTCACGCGTGCACTACATGAAATACTAAATATTTTGAAATGACTTCAAGCTTAAATACGTTTATAGCTAAATAAATATTTGTACCATTCGGTGCAAAAATAGCGATTAAAATTGTAAACATTGCCCTTTTTCAGCTGCATCATTCGCAGTTATTTATGCAGTTCAAGTGAAATAATTCCGCTATGTTCTGTCACAATACCAAGCTGTAATATCTAATCTCCAGGGGAGATCAGTACCATCACTGGCGCTTCCCGCTGGCGCTCGGAAAATAGTGCACGTTTTCGAGAATAACCAGAAAATCTGTAAACCAGTATGTTTGTTACAATTTTGCCAGACACACGAGTATATGCAACATATTTGGGAATTTTTCCCCGTCTCTACATGATTGTACCTTTTAGAAGACAAATTTATCACTCACCATATCTTCGCCACTTTCTACAAGATCATTATCGGAATCCATGACATTTCTTTGGTTCAATTTCATTGTCATCTTAAAGAAAAGTTAGAGAGCTTTATATTTACGCACGTGATTCTCCTGATTAGGTATAAAAATATCGGTGAAGTATGAAATTTATATATGTCATGGTTGCGTTGATGTAGGACCTACAATCTGTTGTTGCTGCCATAATTAGTAGATATTGAGGACAGAATTCTGAAATTTTGAATGCTAGATTTAAGCGTAGAGATTTGCGGTTAATCCTGTCATTGTATATTATCAAACACGGACCAAATCCGTTGTCAAGCATTTAACCAAGAGGTTCAAAAACATTAGCGAAACTGTTGAATCTATGAAACAAGCCTTCTGTTTTGACGTCTTAGTATAAGCCCTCATACGGGTATAACGATAATATATCAGGGTTAAAAATTGAAAGTTCAACTAACCAACCTCAAATATATATTATTGTAATCAAGTTCAGAAGTACTAACCATGCAAATCAGCATCATTCAAATATTGTAATGATCTTCGAAAAAATCTTTACAGTTTGTTGGATGATATTCTTTGTAGACTGCTAGTGTCTTCACTGTCGTGGTTGATCAACTTTATTTAGTTTAAGACCAAATAGGCCAAATCACGAGTTCGTCTTGGTTATATGTAGAGTATTGAAGGAACTTTAATTACTCTGCACAGGAAGTAGAAAGCTTCCTGCTTGTCAAGTGTCCAAAATTATTTATCTCTTTGTCGTCGTATGACGTATGTAGTTGTATGACGTCATTAGTAAACTTCCTCCTAGTTTCTAAGATGTTTTGATTTAACGCGATTCGTTTATTATGATATTAGATCTTTAACCAAGATTCCATGCACGTCATATAAATTGCGCATCAAAATTTAACATTCTAAAATTGCCGTAGACGACGGTGCAAGTACCAAGCATTGCAGTGTATAATTGAACTATTTTCAGGATATTCTAGAGGTTTAAAGGGACTTAATTTTGAGTGGAATTATACACACTTCAAGTTAGTATGCTAGTACTTCAAGCCAGGAACAGTTGATGGGAAAATGAGTCAACTATAGGTCCTCCGGCAGGAATCGAACCTTTTTTCAGGATGGTCAATTGCCAATATCCTAGTCGAAAGTTATCGAGGTAATTTATGTTATTTTGTGTATCGGATACTGCAAAATATCTTGTGAACCTTTACATAGCATATAGTTATAGTTATAGTGACTTGACCTAAGAAGATAAGCTGCAAGTTATAGTTATAGTTATAGTGACTTGACTTAAGAGCTGCATATATAAGCTGCAAGTGTATATAATTATAGGCTTCATTGATACTTCATGCCAAGTTTTAAGCAGGCATTATAATACGCGTGTTTTTGACACACTTTGTGTCCTTGTAAAAGGCGAATGTGTCCTTGTAAATGGAAAAGAGTGTAGTTAAAAATCATGCCTCATGGACAAAAATGTCTAATATAATTTTAATCTGACTATTTAAAATAATTATTGTTTCTATTATAAAATTGACATTATTGAATATATTATATATTAAAAAAGGCTAGAGACTGACGGACCGTGCTTTGCATGGCTATGCTCTTTTTTATATGCTTGCATTGTAATTTCACGTAGTAATTTCTAAGGCTAAGTGATTATTGAACCTAAAGACAATGTGTGTCCTTGTAAAAATTCCGTATTATAATGCCTGGTTTTAAGCGCTACCAAATCTGATTCAGAAAAAAAGTTGCACAACAAAGGAGAAAATATTTTTAGAATGGGAACGGATTATAAATAGGAGAGTTCGTGAGGGGGCGTGTTTAATTGAATCACGAACTCCTATTCAGAGGGTTTTGTCATAAGTTTCTGTTTCAAAAATAGGCTTCGCATGGGCGTCGCATTTTTGTCTTAATGAGACTCTTTCATGGGACGCAAGCTGTACGTGCCTTTGCAGATTGGCAATTCTCTCTGTTGTATCGAGCTCTTGATGCTCTTACCGGATGTCTCACTTGAAAATGAAGGAGAAAGTGCAAACCCCTCTTTCATGGAAGATCAGTTAAAAGGCACTTTGCCTTTGAAGAGGCTTGGAATAACGGGTGGGTTTGGGTGCATCTTATAGTCGGTCTTTTACAATTGATGAAAGATTTCTTGTTGTCCATGCCATGGTGAACAAGCTGAGTTTTTACCAAGGCTGCATGTTATCGCTAGCATAGTTTTAGACTGTGAACAGTACAGCCGTAACTCTCGCAGTAGAAATTCTATTGTTGGGCTCACGGATGGGAACATAGTGGAGTTGTTGTTGTTGTCGATAGTGTGTGTTTTGCTTTTGCAAGGTCTATTAGTGTGGCCCGACCAACCTGGCTTAGAAGGGGTAGTGAGTGTGGTAGACTTTGTGTTGGTAATAGCATGGAGTGCAATTTGGAAAAAGTGAGTTTTTTCAAAGACCTCAAAATAGCACGAGTCCGAAGGACGAGTGCAATTTGAAGTTCTTAAAAAACCTCACGATACGCCACTGTGTTTAGAAGACTAAAAAAGCACTGTCAAATTAAAAATAATTCACTGCAGCATAAGCTTCTATAAAGCTAGAGCACTTGTGTCACTTCAAAACACTCAAAAACGAATGTATTAATATAAGCTACGTAAATATTCGAAATTAATTTGAATTTTTGAACATTAATTTTGACGTTTAACTGATCTCCTTATTGAAAATTTTGTTTTAATGTTTTGAAAGTTGAATTTTGAACCCTTAATTAAGCTGTAAGTTCCATAAATTGCTTGTTTGATAAGGCACAAAAAAGGTGAGACTCATTTTTTTCATATAATATTATTTAAGCTAAAGTCGGCCAAATCAGTTCTAACTAACATATTCTACGCTCTGGAATAATTACGCCCGATCGAAATAAAACACTATTAGAACAATATTTTTTTTTTGTTTTTTTTGCAGTTTACAGTATGGCTAGTTTATAAATAATTAAAAACAATTACTTTATGATTTCCCACTTTTGCGTCAGTGGCGGATCCAGGGAATAAAGGGATAGTCAGAATAAATTACTGTTGTTGCTTGGGTTACGAAAAGCTCCCAAAATCATTTGGCCTTAAAATTTACGCGCTTTTCGTAACCCTCGCAACATTCCCGTATTGTATGACGGACGATGCTCGATATCCCAACATATATGCATGCATTTAATCCATAATTTTCATCGCATTCTGTTTGTAACCGGGATGTTTTTTCATCCCTTCCCGCCATAGGCATGGTCCTAGTTTTGGCAAATAAGGTCTCGGGTGGAAATGTCCTGGTGGAACAAATTTCATATAAACCCGGCATAAAAATTAAAAGTCCCATCCCTACAAACGTCCTGTCTTGGCTTTCATATACTCACCCTAATGCCGGCTATGAATATTTTTTTATAATGTATATGCGTCCGTAACTCATCATATAAGAAGAAAAAATGGAGTGGTGCAGTACAGGTCTCATGTTTACTTTGAATTCATCTAATGTTAGAATTTTGGCGCCCTAGCTCTAAGCTGAACTGACGTGTACATGAAAAATTGTCTTTATTAGCGGTAATACTTATATGGAATCAACTACCTTAATAAAAGACACATGCAGTAAACTAATAAAACCAAATGCTTATTCAAGATGCAGTCTATCAAATTTTATTTCCTTTTATATTTACGTATTATAGGCATTTACATATTAGGTTTGTTAAAACGATTTAAATTTATCCAATCCAACTCACTCGCGATCAATTCATTTGTGGATCATATAGCTGATTTAAAGGCTGTTCACTTGCAAATCAACTAAACACTGCAGTAAAGCTTTATTTGTTTGGATGTTTAGCTAATAATAGTTCAGTATAATCATAGAGCCTACAAAGATTACATAACTATAGAGCGTTTGCATGGTTATACATCTGTTGAATAGCTATGTTTGAAATTATGTCTGATAATTGTGGTTATTTTTTGGCTATATTGATTGTTGATTCCAAATTTTGTACTATAACTACTTAAAGGTTACTTAACTTTCTTTTTAAAAGAAATAAGGTATTCAGGATAACATTGATGATCTTGAAATATAACAAAAATTGAGGGATCCGTCATGTTGTTAACGAGGGAATCGAACTGTAATCCGGGATTTTTTCGATCACCCCGTAGGGGTGGCGCCTTCATTCCTTCTCTGCCAAGGGTGTACTCTCCAATCAAAACTTTCACGACGTATAATTTCAAATTTCTACCAACTTCACTTTTGCAATAGTTGACGGAATAGGAAGAATCTCTGGCGAAATACACACCATTACCATACCGTGTAGCTTTAAAAAAGTAAGTTTACTTTAATGGGCATTGCATGCATGTATATAAATTAGTTATGTTTGTGATTCTAGCCAGTTATTTCTTTAGCTACTCTAACAGTTTCTGTGAGCCGGATTGTCATCAGGGATAAATAATTAAGTTTTTATAAAACTTTGATAGAAGGGAAGTGGTTGAAATAACGGAAAATGTTTCGTCCCTTTGCCTCTTATTTTGATGATTCAGGCTCGACAAATCTAAGTTCGGAAGGCGTTCACTTAGATCTTAGATAAAGCTTCAAAGAGATTGTTTTCAGGTTCTTCGATAAATATTTGAAAAGGATCGATACAGTTTATAAAAATTCAGGTACTCACCATTTTCCCCGGCAAATCCTCTGCTGAAATTTTGAGTATTGATAGCAGCAATATTTTTAGAGTCCGTCCCATGAAACAATTTTAATTCATTCCTTGTACACATTGACTGCTTCTTTGCAATGTACGCTCTATAAAGGCCAGGATTTTGTATTCGTTCGATCATAGTCACCACCCAACCGCTGACGTCACTTTTTCGAAACAGGCTTAATATTTTAATGTATCCACTCGATGTTTGTTGAAGTTTAACCAATTGCACAACGATATCCTTTGCTTGCACAGTCCAGTTTGTTGGTAATTTAACTGAAAAAAGGGTAGAAAGTTAAATTAGGTTTAATCATTCGTATATCACAAGTTGAATATTATCGTGGAAAGCCACATATGGATCTTGTATACGTTTTTGAATGACATCCAGAAGGATGATCTGCGACGTCCAGAAGGATGATCTGCATGCACTAAACAAAATCAGGTCGCTACGGGCACTACTTCGAATTCGGCTCCATAGAATTGTTTTCGAACCTAAACCAAATGGTTAAACGTCTCATGACTCACTAAATTCATATTATTGATAACAACGCAAACAGCTTTTTAAATCAATAACCTTTATTCGACTATGATTCGAAGGAGTATTTTAAACGCGTCATCGTCAAATTCCGTAAATGTCTCGCAGCAAGCTTGATGCATGTTATTGGGTTTGTTAAGCGCATAGGACAGCAGTGAATATGCGCTTTAAAAATTTTATTATTATTATTATTATTATTATTGTTAAACGACCAAAAGTATTCACGAAACCTAACCTCGATATTATTTTTAATTTTTTTTTCTTGAATTCGGACCGCAAGAAAAAAATAAATCTATTATTTACCTGTTTAGTCGGTCCCTATAGGGAAATATTCCCCTCAGTTTCAAAACTTCCCTCAGCCTTCGGCCTCGGGCTGTTTTTGAGACCTCGGAAAATATTTCCCTGTACCGACTTTCAATCTGGTAAATAACATATATTCATTCTGCCGGATACGACAATTATCGTATCACAACCTAAATATTTGTAGTGTATAATGGCCCACACACACTGGACGTCATTCGTCAACGCACGGTTGTCAACGCGACGCGAATTTTGAATTTTTAGTGGCAAATAAAATTTTGAGAACCATGCATAGGCCCTAGACAAGTCAAAATCCTTCAGTAATTGTAAAGAACATCATTACGCCCGCGCGGACGAAGGCGCCTTTGAAAATAAGCTCATGAAACGTGTTTCGCCCGCGTGGGCAAAGCGGACGTAATGGAGAATCGCCTTTGAAATGTAAGTCGTCACTTTAACTACAAAGGCGACGATAAGGATGAAACTATGAAAAAGGGATATGCCTCTTTATTTCTTACTAAAGGGCTATCCCTCTTTCATAGTTTCATTGTTATCCTTGCCCTCTCAACTCCTACCTGCATTCGATTCTTCTGGCTTAAGTGAGAAGCATTTTTCGACACTTTCGTTTAAAACACTTTTAAAATCTGGTAACATTTTTTCTTGAAAAACCACGACAATCACGGTTAGATGATACGTGCAGGCAGTTGAAAAATTCGACATAGCATTGAAAATAATTTCAGCTGAGGCCCGTGAAGAAAGATTAAAATTCGCAGTTCCTATTGCTGGGATCAAGATAGAACGGAGGGAATATCTTTGCGCCAAGAAAAAGCACTCCTTTATGTCATTTTGGAGGCCCATTGTATCCAAGCTACTTAATACAAAGTGGATGATTTTTTTTACATTTCTGGAGGATCCCGCTGAGGTGATAAATCGGATCCCAGGAGTATGTTGAATAAGTTGACAAGCTTTATTAATTTCCTGCTGAATCATTTCACCACCAACTCTCAGGATATTGTTACATACTGCGCCACCATTACCGAGCTTGAGATTATCTGGTAAAAGATTGATAATTGCATCACCTTTGAACGTTGTTATATCTCCTTTCCTCAGAAGAACGGTCACGGTGCCATCTAAAATTTAAGAATAATGCAAATTAGAAGAAAAAATAGTTTTGTCAATGAATTTTTGACTTTATATGAATAGGGCCTAATTATTATTCATCGAGACCGCGTCAATTATGTCAAGTCATTTGCATGGTTTCAGTTCGCTGAATGAGGCTTTTTGACTTTTTCTACGCCATTTTTTTCCGTGATGCGTGTTTTTTTTTCGCCTTTAAAAATTTAAACTTTCCAGTAAAATCACTTTGTTTTTGGCTGGCCTGTAGTTAAATAAAACAAATACTTTTTTAAATAAATAGTATTCCACAGGACTCTTGATTAGTCATAAAAGTTGTCTATATCGAATACAATACTGTCCTAAAATAACCTAACAAAAACTGCGGTTAACCCACATCAAACCTTGGTCTGATCGCGGTAAGACCTCGGCCTAACTCGATCTGACAGACATTTCCTAAGAAGTTTTCGATAATCATGTTTATTGCGTTGTCGTTCTCAGCTGTTCAAAACATTCCGTTCGGAAGCGAACGGCAACGGCGATCGTGTCTTCCCTTACGGTTTCCCTATCGATTATAGAAGGTTTTTTTCTAACTTTTTATCTTCCCGTGAGAATTACATTAATAAGGCTAGTTAACTGAACAAAGTATGACGATCGTTTGTACTGCGCTGGATGCAATGGATGCGCTGGATGCACCTGCATTCATAGTTAGACCTTTCGAAAGCTTTCCAAAGCATAAAGCTCTGCATTATTGCATTATTTTTGTTAAAATTTGTTCACTTAGGATTTCAAGATATTTTCTCCAGTTTTTTAAAAGTTTTTTCTGGGATCATCGCTTTGTATCGATGTTTTGCATTTTGCATATTAAACATGGAGTATGACCAGAATCAATTATTCATCCACTTCATTTTAGTATAATTATATATTCACATCTTATATAATTATACACTATTTTCAGTTGCAGACGATTCGTAAATCAGTGTATTTCTTTCTTTCGTTTTTAAAAAAATTTGATTCGCGGATCCCTTACAGTGTATAAAAGATATCACACAAATACTGTACGCATAGTGTTTTTAACGAGTATAAAGGTGAGAGTTTAATAATGACTTAAACGTAAGGTTTTATTAGTTTTTTTATGTTTTATAATAAAATAGATCAGCTACAAAATATAACAAATTACTATTACTGAAAGTTACCTCCAGGTTTTCCTGCACCTCTCGAACAAACAGGATTGTCAATTTGACTACGATTTTTCTGAGGATCTAAAACCAAGGAGCAACATTTTTATAACACCACATTCATCGCTGCCGAAATTTGTCCTAAAATAACTATGTGCAATTATGCGACGTCATGGACGCATTTTTATGCGACAGGCGTATGTGCAAAATCTGAAAACGTAACCTGCCAATGAGCTAAGGCAAACAAAAACGTTGGTATTGTAAAAACAGTACGTGTCATTAATTTAACTGTAATTTGCATGCAACCAAAAGGGGAATTCCTATGTTAATAGAATATATTATGCATTCTTTCCAAAGTTCTCTCTTTTTTCATTGCGATCCCCCCATAAGGACAGTCATACGCAAGTTTTGGAAGACAGTGCTGGTCTAGAGTAACAGACATAACAATTTCGCCGTCCGACAGGCAACTGCAGCATTAAACTTTGGTAAGGAAAGAAACATAGGCGTACAAGACAGGGCGGCACTTGCCCCCTTCCCCTTCCTCAAAAAAAATTTCAGAATCAAGAAATTCGGGCAAAGTTCAGCATAAAATTCGGGCTAACTGAAAAAAAAATTTTTAAAACAAAGTTTTGTAATATATATCTTATATTTGTATTCTATTTCGCCATTTTTGTTACACTTTCTTGAAAGCAATCCGCCGCTTTGCCAAGTTTATTGTTACAAATCTGGTAATTCGGGCGCATGGTATAATTAATAAATTCTGGTGATTTTTTTTGCCCTTCCACCCAAACAAAGTGGCGCCCGTACGCCTATGGAAAGAAACCCTCTATTTAAGTTGTGAGAGACGATAACCGGCCCGCCTCGCGCAGGAGAGTGCCGGGCGATATGTTTCATTGAATGGAATATTTATGGTCCGAATGATAAAAAATTAGTAGCTATCGTCTTATCGACTATTTTTTTACTGATCTATTATTTGATACTAGAAATACATGCATGCAGCCCTCGCTATTTTAAACTTTCTGTCTTAGCCAATCAGAATATTTGTTGATTACTAGTCGTTACTCGCGCATGCGCATAACTTACAAAACCACCCAACGTCGACCGTCCATGACATAGAATTTGGACAACTTTGGATTCAGCTATGTTCTTCCGGGTTCCGGGTGTAATTCCTAATCTCCGAGCGGAATTAGTACCCTCGCAGGCGCTCCGCGCCCGCTCGGGGATGATGTAATTATCGGTCAAGGTCAGACAAGCTTAAGAAATATTTTTTGTTTGAAATGGTGAGGAAATTATGTACGAATGCATTTCTAATCATAAATACACTTACTTGTCGGCGGGGGTTTTGGTTTGGGTATTTTCGATGCAACAAACTCTTCCGTTTGTTTTTGTGCCTGTATCACGTCCTCTTTAGCGCCGATAAGACTCACTTCTTTGCATTTTCTGTCACTTGTTGTTTCCATGTACACCTTTAAGACCCGACTTTTCTCTTGCTCCGCTTTAAAGTTTTCAAACTCAGCACCTTCAGGAACAATGTCGGCATTTTTTGGAATAGGAACTGTTTTTATGATAATGAGTCATCCAGAGCTTTTCCAGCTCTCGTAAATTCGAGGTCATTCATAGCTGTGATAAGCACCGAATCTCCAGATTTTTCGAGCTCTATCTGGTTTTTAAAATAAGTGGCTTTTTAATAAGTTGCTAAGAAAGGCGAGAAAAAAAACGAAGAGGAACTGCGAAACGGGGACACAGCTCTTATAGTATGGTTGGGATAAAAAAATGAATGCTAAAGGGTCAGTTTGATGTTATTAATGGAAACGAAAACATTTGGAACAATACAGGATTTCGGCAAGTGCGATAGCGTGTAGATTGTCGTTATCAATTAAGAGCAATCGTTTAATGGATCTGAAGTTTTCCTCTAAAGTGCCACATAGAAAAGTGCAAAACATCCTTCTTCAATGCATCCATTTAATAGAATTTCTTACAATTCGCACAATAAAATAAATGTGGAAATAAGCAATCCACGGTAAGACAGGAAATCAGGAATTAATTTCATTTATGGTCGTTTAGATTAAGATTTAAGAACGATGATTTGGTGATGTAATTTTCTATGCAAAAGTCTGCATGCAAAAATAGTGTTAATTAACTTTTTCTAAACCGGCATTACAGCTAAGAGTTAGTTAATACAAACTTATACTTAAAGTAAGGAAACAAACCTTAGCCTCAATGCAATCTGATTTTAACCTTTTCTCAACAAGCTCCATCTTCTGACTTAATATATCCCACATCCTTTTATCTTTCAGCCTTTTCTTTTTATTTTCCACCATCATTTTTAAGAGGCCATCACACTTGTCGCAGGCTTTGAAAAAGTCATCTCCTTGGCCTTTAATAATCACTTTTTTCTTTTCCGAATCAACACATACTTTTACTGAATCAGATTCAAGGCCTTTAAAAAACTGAACATGTTGAAAAAATGACCTTTTTTCATAAAAACCATTTTCGAGCTTACGACTTCTTGTTTTTTTCCGGAAAATATTCACAACCTCAACCACGGTTTTAAACATTTTATCCCGCCACGAGGATCCAGCGTTTTTCGTTTTTTTGACGATGCTTTTTGAAGACATGGCTTGCTGAAATGAATGTATATAATATAAAAAAGCCAGGCGTTTATCTTTTGACAAGTCAATTTACTGCAAAACTTTTACAGTAGGATATTACGTCAACGAGACAATATAACAAATACTGGCATACGTATTGGAAAATCGCAGGGCGAAAGTTGCATCAGTCGTTAATTGAAGAAATTGCTACGCTTCTCTCTGTATTTTTGAGTTTACTTATTATTATCTTAGTAAGAAAGATCTAAATACATTGTCAACCTGTATATTATATTTTGTACCCATAATATGGTGTCAAATGTATCTAAGCATATCGGCTATTAATGCTAATATTATATCTCAACTGTAAATCATCCAATCAGAAAGCACGATTTGTACCACGTGATCAGTTAATTAATCATGGAGTTCCATCGAATTTTTTCACATTATGCTATAAAAGTCGAATACGGGCGAAGCCCTCGGGATATATCTTCCCTTGGGGGTAATATTTCGTCGAATTCCCCTCGCTCCAGGTCTATAAATGATATGTGTAATGAAGTAAAATAACCGTTGTAAAATGTATTCCATTTGTTAGGAATTCAATTATACAGAACTCCAATCGTCATTGTTTATTGACCGTATAATAATTGTCCGCACTGCATAAGCTTCAAATACTGTCTACAGTATAACAGCAGTACATATTCTAATGTACTAGTAGAAATACATGCATGCAGCAACCCCTCGCCATTAGAAACGAAGCAAAATACCGAGACATAACCTTCTAAGCATATATTTTGAAATGACTTGGGTAAAGCCTACGCTGAAATAATGTGTGGTGTTTCAAACTTTTCAGAAACAAACACAGTCGTAAAGGTGAAGTGAAATCATTCGTTTGCCTGCTGCATTACGTAGCAGTCATAGACTTTCACACCTTAAGCGAGAACAAATACTTCACTATAACTAAACTTTCAAGATATCAAGTCAGCACAAAAAATTTTATTCCTCAAACAGGTATATACTGATTTACTATGCACAATTCCGTGTCACTATATAAATTCTAACTAATAAAGAAAAACTGATAAAGAAAAACTTTTATATAACAGATAAAGAAAAACTTTCCCAGTTTTCTCTCTTTTATGTTAACTGCGCCCTGCGGGCTATAATATTATATGACATCATATTAAACAGCGAGCGGTCAAGATAGATTGATTAAATTAAACTGGCGAGAGTTTTTGTTTGAGTCTTTGCATTTAATTACGAAATAAAAAATTTATACGCAAGTTATAAATTTGCGGTTAATGGAGTAATATGTTCTAGAAGGTCCTATTTCACCCTACATATGGACCATCTCTGGCCTAGCTGTCATAGTTATCGCATGCACTAATTTTAGCCCGGGCAAGGTCAAGGCCTCAATAGAACAAGGCAGTCTTTACCAGGCATGTTAATAGTTATAAAGTCCAAAATCTGAACGAACTCTGGCATCTTAGCATGTGAACAACGTATGCAAACTTGTGTTACGGCCAATCGAATCTCCCCTGACGGTCTTTCCCTTCACGTGGACTTGAACAATGGCCCCCTTTTTTCTGCAAGGATTTTGCCTGCCCCCCATGCATGCATTGGTCATTCGCAAGACCTCAGCCAATGCGTCCACAACGCCGGTCAAATATTTAAAGGTCTCTATCGAAAGGCAGTAATACATATATCTGCGTTTCAAAAGTAACTATAAACAAAAACTACAATGCCGAAGCAAGCTAAAAAGCGCCGTTCAACTCGTACTCGTCCATCGCGTCAAAACGAACAAACTGTGGCGGAAACCAATAGCGAGACGTCGAACGCGGCCAACCACATCAGCGAACAGCCGCTTGGTTCTGCCACGAACTACGCCGACATGTCCACCAAAGTCCTCCATCTTCTCTTGGCCCAGCGAAACCTCTCTCTTTCTGGTTCGCGTGACGTTCTTTTACGCCGCCTTGCTGATCACGACAGAACGGCAAATTCTCCAGCCTTAACACCAGCTCTACCACCACGTGATCTGACTCCCAGTACGCCTCAATTTTCCGCTGAATCTCTCCGCTCGTTGGCAGTTAACCTCGCACCGTTGCTCCGCGACGTTTTGGCCCGCGACACGCCACCATCGCCTCAACCACCGCTTCCACAACCATCGCCAGCAGCGAGCCTTATCGCGCAGTCCGCGCCAACACCCTCTTTCGATCTGGGTAATCCTTCCAGCGTTGCCACTTTAATCTCGTCTTCGCCAGTTTACTCGTCATCCACCTCATTACCGTCAGAGACTCCCAGTCTGCCTAAGAAAGTCGAGGAACAGATCGTTAACGGTGAGTTTGTCGATTTCTCTTTGCTTCTCCCGGGTAATTCAGACCGCCCCTCTTTCGGTCCAATTCGCCTGTCAGTCGAAGGTGATCAGGGCTATTCGATACCTCTTCCGAATTTCTCAAATTTCGGCAAGCGTCCAAAAATCGACAGTCTTGATAAGTGGCTAACAGCCTTCGGTGTTTACGCTTCGGTTGTTGTCGCTAAATTTCCGCACAAAGCTTCGCAGCTGTTTGCCTACCAGCGCATAATCCGAGAGGCTTCACAAAAGTTTAAAGGTTTGGCTTGGTATGCGTACGACATAGATTTTCGCAAGCTCGCCGCGAAACATCCAGCGCTCAATTGGGGCGAACGTCATCTCCAGCTGTGGCTAGATAAGTTCACAGGTCTCGCGCGCACTATCTGCTTTGTCTGTGGCGGCGCCGATCACATGTCTGATGTTTGCCCTCTTTCCTCATCAAGGTCCGAAGGCGGCCGGTCAAGCAATTTCCCCAACCGAGGATTCTGCCGCAATTTTAACGGGGGCCTCCCGTGCTCAGCAAACCCATGTTCCTTCGAACATCGGTGTAATCGATCCGGCTGTGGCGGACGGCATGCGGCATATGAACACGCTGACACCAGCTCTGCGAGAACTGATGACACTCCGCGTCGCACAAAACACAAGTAAGGAGTTTGTTGATAGATTAAACCAGTTACACCAATTAACGTTAATCTCCTGGAGTCCATGCTAACTAACCACCCAGATCGCGAATTTGTTGTTGCCCTCTGTTCGGGTTTAAGGGCGGGTTTTAAAATTGGGTATAAGGGGCCCCGTCACCCCTTCGTTTCACCTAATCTTAAAACGGCCCTTATGTCGCCGGAAATAGTGGATGAAAACCTGCTCAACGAAGTCAAACAAGGCCACACAGTTGGCCCCTTCACTAGCCCTCCATTTACAAACTTCCAAGTCTACCCCTTGGGCCTTGTCCCTAAGAAGAACTCATCCAAATGGAGAACCATTTTTCACCTTTCCTATCCAAAATCATCAACCACTAGCGTTAATGCTAATATTTCATCCGAAGATTACTCTTTACAGTACGTCCGAATTGACGACGCTATGAGAATCCTTCTTGAACTAGGCCCGAACTGTTTCATGGCCAAAACCGATGTTCAATCCGCGTTCCGTAATATCCCAGTTCACCCCGATGACTGGGAACTCCTAGGCATGAAATGGCGGGGACTGTATTTTTTCGATCGTGTTCTTCCCTTCGGCCTTCGCAGTGCACCGTACATTTTTAACATGCTTTCGGATGCCCTCGAATGGATTCTCCTACACAAATTAGGTATTCCAAATGTTCTCCATATTTTGGACGATTTCTTTATCGCTGAGGCTGCCCCCGTCCTTTATGCCTGACTTCACTGTGTAAGTTGTTGTGTTTGTTCACTGAACTGAATGTCCCCATAGCACCTGGAAAAACTTTTGCTCCTACCCAAACCTTAGAATTTCTTGGGATTACTCTTGATTCCATCCACATGCTGGCTCTCCTGCCCGAGGATAAATTAAGTCAGGCTAGGACCCTTCTTGCGCAATGGCACAAACGCTCTTGCTGTATGTTAAAGGAGCTTCAATCTCTTATTGGGATCCTTCAGTTTGCATGCCGAGTCATTGCCCCAGGACGCACATTCCTCCGACGCATGATTGCCCTTACATTGTGGTATTAAACAGCCCTATCATTTTGTGAAGTTGAACACGGGTTTTATAAGGATTTAGCTGTGGGAAGTTTTTTCTCAAACACTGGAATGGTATTAGTCTTTTTCTTGAGCTCGGGCAGACCCCCTCGCCCTCACTTGAATTTATTTGCGATGCAGCAGGTTCCATCGGTTTTGGTGGATACTTAGCAGGACAATGGTTTCGGGCCGGTGGCTACCCAGCCAAAATATCGCTAACAAACTGGTATTTCGATCGCATGGCAAGAGCTTTACCCAATTTATCTTTGCATGTTGTCTCTGGGGTGCCCAATGGGCAACAAAAGCATTGGTTGTTTTCTGTGACAACGAGTCCGTTGTCCAAATTCTCATCAGAAGACGTCAAAATGTCCGAAGATAATGGACTTACTCCGACCGATTGTTCTTTGTACTTTGCAAAACAACTTTACATTTACGGCCAGGCATGTACGCGGACTTGACAATGGCATTGCTGACTCGCTCTCTCGTTTTCAGATGGACCGCTTCAAACAATTAGCGCCGCTGGCCTCTCCTCTGCCTTGCGTCATCCCAGTATCCATGATTCAAACTTAAAGAACCGTGTTTATGAACTTATTCAGCATTCATGGGCACCGTCAACCAAACAAACCTACGCCGCCGGCATAAAACAATTCATTTCATTCTGCCTTGCACAAGGTATCGTGACACCCGGTTCACCTTTACTGCCTGCGACTGAAATTACCCTGCTCTACTTCGTCGGTCATCTATCCAAATCTGTTTCATATTCAACTGTTAAAACATACTTAGCTAGCGTGTCTTACCTCCACGTAAATTTTCAAATCCCATCGACATGGGGAGCATGCAACTATTAGAAAAAAGTCTAAAAGGTCTGAAGCGCCTCAAGGGTGAAAAATTGCGGGATCGACGCCCTATCACTGTGACCGAACTCGAGTCCCTTCATTCTGCCCTACGACCTCAGTTTACAGACTGTTTAGACAATGTGATGCTTTGGGCCGCCTTCACTCTGGCCTTTTTTGGCTTCCTACGCTGTAGTGAATTCACGTGTAATTCTCCTTTCGATCCCGAGTGCCACCTATCCCGCAATGACATTATTTTCCACCCAAATATCCTCCACGCAGAATATTACGATGTCTTGATCAAGCGTTCCAAAACCGACCCTTTTCGTCGTGGATGCCGTTTGACAATCGGCTCATCGCGTAATAAACTCTGCCCGGTTCGAGCTATGAAAACATATCTACTCCAGTCATCGTCTGGCCAAACCCCTCGTCCACTGTTCCAATTTACATCAGGTGTCCCACTTACACGTGTAACCCTAACATCGCATCTACGTCATCTACTTCAAGGGCAAGGACTAGCCGAAAAACTCTACGCCTCTCATAGTTTCAGGATCGGAGCTGCTACAGCTGCGGGCTCAGCCGGCCTACCCTCTTGGCTCATCAAAACGCTAGGACGTTGGTCTTCAGACTGTTACGAGAGATACATTAGAACTCCAAAGGACGTCTTAGCTTCCGTTCCATACAAACTAACTGCAAGTACCAAACATTAAAAATTTTGTTTTAATATCTACCTTTTAAACTCAATCATTATGCTTCCTTGCTGTATAGTCCGTATAACACCAGTCCCCTATTTGTGTGTATGTGGATCCTTCCTGCAAACTCATAGCCTGCCGTATGTTTTGTTCTGTCATGCTACCACGGCAACTGCACGATATCTTCGAATCTGTTTGTTCAAGGACCCACATACACACAATTGCCGGCCACCTTTGCAAGATTGTGTTTAAAGACATTTTAGGGTGGCCCTCTCTGCTGTCGAAAGACAGGACTCTAATTCGGCTACTTCCCGTGGCGGAAATGGCGGTTTGCACTTTGTGCAGACCGCCATTAATGGCAGGAAGTGCTGTCCTTCTGGACAACACCTCACCACGTGAAGTGCATTTGTACAGGTCATTTTGGTCGAAAACGCGACCTGATGACCTGACCTAGAGACTCGATGGGTCAGTCAGACAATATTTGAGTCGAGCTGACTGACCTGAACAGGGGTCCGCCTGTTCCCCTGTTATCTAGAGGTCCGCCTGTTCCTCTAGAAAAACCTATAGTTTTTGCATGCTCTGTCGGGTTTTGAGTGCCCTTACTGTCTCAGTATAACTAATGGTGGTCCCTAGATCATCAGGTCTCAACTCACTGAACAACATGCACAGAGCTGGCTCACACCCTCTGCAACTTAGAGGTCCTCCTGTTCCTCTAGGAAAAACTTAGGTTAATTAGAGCCTCTAGACCTTTTTTCGAGCGCTTCCTGCCCAAATTATATGCCACAAAAATGTCTCATTGTGTTTTTCTTTGCTAAGTTGCCAGACGTTCAAAATCCTTATAAAGAATCTCAACATATAAACTACATTAAATAAAAAATTTATACGCAAGTTATAAATTTGCGGTTAATGGAGTAATATGTTCTAGAAGGTCCTATTTCACCCTACATATGGACCATCTCTGGCCTAGCTGTCATAGTTATCGCATGCACTAATTTTAGCCCGGGCAAGGTCAAGGCCTCAATAGAACAAGGCAGTCTTTACCAGGCATGTTAATAGTTATAAAGTCCAAAATCTGAACGAACTCTGGCATCTTAGCATGTGAACAACGTATGCAAACTTGTGTTACGGCCAATCGAATCTCCCCTGACGGTCTTTCCCTTCACGTGGACTTGAACAATGGCCCCCTTTTTTCTGCAAGGATTTTGCCTGCTCCCCATGCATGCATTGGTCATTCGCAAGACCTCAGCCAATGCGTCCACAACGCCGGTCAAATATTTAAAGGTCTCTATCGAAAGGCAGTAATACATATATCTGCGTTTCAAAAGTAACTATAAACAAAAACTACAAAAATAAACCCCACCCACCTCCCCACAGCGAAGGACTGGCCGCTGTGGCATCCGCATGTAAATATACTGATACGTTAAGTTCGTTCATATGTTATCTCTAGATAGTCTATCGATATTCTTCTTGTAACTTGTAATGAATTGCAGTGATTAAACAATGGCAGGAAGTGCTGTCCTTCTGGACAACACCTCACCACGTGAAGTGCATTTGTACAGGTCATTTTGGTCGAAAACGCGACCTGATGACCTGACCTAGAGACTCGATGGGTCAGTCAGACAATATTTGAGTCGAGCTGACTGATCTGAACAGGGGTCCGCCTGTTCCCCTGTTATCTAGAGGTCCGCCTGTTCCTCTAGAAAAACCTATAGTTTTTGCATGCTCTGTCGGGTTTTGAGTGCCCTTACTGTCTCAGTATAACTAATGGTGGTCCCTAGATCATCAGGTCTCAACTCACTGAACAACATGCACAGAGCTGGCTCACACCCTCTGCAACTTAGAGGTCCTCCTGTTCCTCTAGGAAAAACGTAGGTTAATTAGAGCCTCTAGACCTTTTTTCGAGCGCTTCCTGCCCAAATTATATGCCACAAAAATGTCTCATTGTGTTTTTCTTTGCTAAGTTGCCAGACGTTCAAAATCCTTATAAAGAATCTCAACATATAAACTACATTAACTGACTGTTGGGCTTCATATTTAAATATGTACACGTTTAAATATTCCGATCTCTGTTACATTGAGTTATGTCTGACTTTCTTTACTTGACTTTTCTTTATCATTTTGCCGTCTCATTGAACGTTAGTCATTGTGTTGAGGTATACTTAATAGTTCTGGGAGATGCTTTATTTTGCTGCTTTTGTTTAGTGAGACGGCGACGACGCGATAAAGTATGTTCATGGTATCACACATGCAATATATAGCATGTTTTTTCTGCTCGATGTCAAGTGTTAACAGTTTATTGCTAAACTAACAATTAAAAGTTTTCATCGATTTTTGTGAATCAAAACAGACACGAGAAACGCAAGTACAATTATTAATTGGGTGGGTGGAATTCTTATGCCCAAGTGATTTTGTTTGAAAGATATTGTTGTTAAACTGTGTAAACATGAATAATATGACCCCCCCCTCAAATTAAGCTGTCTATAACTACAGATCTGCACGTTTACTTTCAATTTGATGGCAGTTTAATTAGGTGGATGTATATTACGCCTATATATAAATACGATTATTTGGCGTTATAAATATCTTATATTTCCTTTCCACCGTGCTCCTAAATGCCCTTCAAGGTTTAGGTCCAAATACAGTGAAGGATGTGGCTCATGTGGCAATTCATCGTGATCCCTTTTCAATTTCATCTTAGTTTGGCAAATCTCAGAAGAGCAGCACGAAAAGAGCACTCAAACACGCTTGATACATTTTATATAGATATAAATTGTGTGTGGATGAATGTCCCTGTATATTGGCCTCATAGTAAGTCTTTAAACAAAATGAAAATGAAAGTGTAATGCATTTACTAATTTTTAGTAAATGGTTAACTTTCTATTAAAATAATTCGTTAAATAAACTTACATTCACCTAATGCCAATCCTTTAAGTTCAGCTTGCAAAATTTCCAATGTTCGCAGAAACGACCTAACAGATATACGCGACGAATACGACCACTCAGACAGGATGTATACTTTGCTGCATGGTCTTGTGGTTTAAATTGTGAGCATGAAATGATGAATTGCTTAATGACGTCATTTCCGGTTTTGTTGGCGTTACCGGCGATCCACTACGAGATGAAAAACAGAGAAATTCTAAATGAAAAAGGCACAAATAAATGCTCCAAAGAAACTTTAATTTAGCACTTTAGGTAAACTAAATAATTCAATATTTTCTTTTCGTTTTGATGAAATGCGTACCAGGCTACTAATTAACACTTATTTAACACTTAACGAAGGAAACATTTATCATTTATAGACCTGGAGCGAGGGGAATTCGACGAAATATTACCCCAAGGGAAGATATATCCCGAGGGCTTTGCCCGAGGGATATATCTTCCCGAGGGGGTAATATTTCGTCGAATTCCCCGAGCGGAAGGTCTATAAATTATATAATTATTATATCGAAACAACGGGTAGGCAGCGCAAAAGCTGGGTGAAATGGCTTCTTTTGCCTCCATTTCGAAATTGTTGACAACCTCGAGTCGTGTGCGAGGCATCCACGCGTGGTACACGCAAACTCGAATACCCCGCTGCAGCGGGGTATTCGAAGTCGAATACCCCGCTGCAGCGGGGTATTCGACTTTTATAGCATAATGTGAAAAAATTCGATGGAACTCCATGATTAATTTACTGATCACATGGTACAAATCGAGCTTTCTGATTGGATGATTTACAGTTGAGATATAATATTATGTTTTGTGGACCCGAGACCTAATGTTTTCTGAGTTCTCAATAAATAGGTTTTTTATTATATACCACTTGTCAAAGAAAAACCAAACTACAAGGTAAACAACGAAATATCTATTCATAATAGACTTTATTTCAAATGGATAAACAGTCTAAAGGTCGCACGTCCAGATGCGCTGCACGTGATTAAAGTTGTTATTTCGCATGAGATAACACGTTATCTCACTCTGCAGGGGGTCGCGCTGGCGAAATCAAAAGTTCGTCACTCTCGCGTGATTCGCTCTCGACCAATGAAATGCTACAAACACCAAACTTTGACAAATGGTATATAATGATACAAATTCATGCATTTCTTTTTTGTTCAAGTGCAAATACATGCCTTATGCCATGAAATAAACTTTTTATTAGCCTCATAATGATAAACCTTTTATTACCCCCCCCCCCCCAAGCTTCAAATACTGTCTGCAGTATAACTGCAGTAATGATGTAGTACATATACGTACTATTACGTTAATATTGCCGCTGTAGTTGGTTTAAAACAATTATCATTTATATAGTGACACGGAATTGTGCATAGTAAATCAGTATAAAATTATTATGACTGATAAAGAAAAACGTTTGCTAGTTTCCATCTATGTTAACTGCGCACTGCGGGCTATAATATTATGTGACATCATACTATACAGCGCGCGTCAAGATAGATTGATTGAAATTAAACTGGCGAGAGTTTTTGTTTGAGTCTTAGCTATTTAATTACAAACTGATTGTTGGGCTTCACATGTTAGTACACGTTTAAATATTCCTCCAACTCTGTTAGATTGAATTATGACTGACTTTCTTTATTTGTCTTTTCGTTATCCTTTGGCCGTCTCATTGAACATTAGTAATTGTGTTGAGATACTTAATAGTTAATTCTGGGAGTTGCTACTTTATTTTGCTACTTATATATATTTTCTACTTTATTTTGCTAAGTATATTTTCTACTTTATTTTGCTACTTTTGTAAAGTGAAACGGTGACGATGCGATAAAGTGTATTCATGGTATCACATAACAGAGCATGTTTTCTTTTTCTGTTCGAAGTTAAGTATTTATTGCTAAAGTTTATTACTGAAGTAACAATTAAAAGTTTTCAATGATATTCGTGAATCAAAACAGACACGGGAAACGCAAATACAACTATTTAAATTTTAAAAATATATCCTAGTTTACATAGCATACTGTAGCTAATTAAAACATAATTAGGGGGTATTTAATTCTTATGCCCAAGTGATTTTGTTTGAAAGAGATTGTTGTCACACTGTGAAGACATGAATAATATGACCCCCCCCCCCCCAATTAAGCTGTCGACATAACTACAGATCTGCACGTTTACTTTCAATTTGATGGCAGTTTAATTAGTTGCATGTATATTACGCCTATAAATACGATTATTTGGCGTTATAAATATCTTATATTTCCTTTCCACCGTGCTCCTAAATGCCCTTTAGGGTTTAGGTCCAAATGTAGTGAAGGCCGATGTGGCAGTTCATCGTGATCCCTTTTCACTTTCATCTTAGTTTTGCAAATCTCAGAAGAGCAGCACGAAACGAGCACTCAAACACGATTGATACATTTTATATAGATATAAATTGTGTGTGGATGAATGTACTCCTCCTCTATATTGGCCTTATAGAAGTCTTTAAACAAAATGAAAATGAAAGTGTAATGCATTTACTAATTTCTAGTAAATGTTTAACTTTCTATTAAAATAATTCGTTAAATAAACTTACATTCACCTAATGCCAATCCTTTAAGTTCAGCTTGCAAAATTTCCAATGTTCGCAGTAAACGACCTAACAGATATACGCGAAGAATACCACCACTCAGACAAGATGTATACTTTGCTGCATGGTCTTGTGGTTTAAATTGTGAGGATGAATTGCATATTAATCACTTCGTGTGGAAATCGAACAATAGCGTTCTTCCAGGCGTGAAGTGGTTACCTACTAGGAATTACCAGGGTTTCCACAAGTTATTTGCATATGACTGTCCTCTTAGGGGGATGGCAATGACAAAAAAAAGAGAAAACAAAGAACTTTTGAAAAGAATGCATAAAATATTATATTAAAACAGACCCCTCCCTCCCTTGTGGTTGCCAATTGCAAGGAAATTTCCTTGCATTGTGGAAACCCTGGGAACTATCCAGAAATAACCTAGCAAAACTGCGATATAGTTCACACCTCGGTCTCATCGCGAAAATATATAGCAATGCGAAGTTAGCATATTTCGTATACTTTTGTATTACGTGCGGAAATTTGTAACTAATTTAGTTAGCTACACACTTCCGGCCATAATACAACAGTCGCAGCCAAATTTGTCAGTTTCACTAAGTTTAATAAGCTCTTTCAGAAAATGTCCTTTTTATCTTTCTATTGCCGGAGTAAGAAATTAGTTTAAAAAGCAAATCGTTCATTAACGTGAAGCAAAAGTTATGCGTAAAAGTGCCGAGAAAATGAAAATCACTAAAAACGACGTTTCATCCAACAGCGTATGTACGCGCTATTGAGGCGACTTCAACCAGGGGCGGATTTAGGGGTTGTCAGATGAGTCACGCGACTAAGTCAAAAAATACACAAGTCCAGGTCGAAATATTTAAACTTCAGTCAGCGAAAATAGTCATTCGATAAATTAACAGTCCAGTTAGAAATTATTAAGCTTCATGCAGTTGCCGGTCACTGACTTTTGAGCCCTCGGCAAATGAGTCATAATAGCGGATACCCGCTTGAATTTTGCCTCATCGACTTCTGATTCTAGGCATTTGATTGGCTTAGAATGAGTTTGACTCATCTTTGCGGGGGTCTGACTCATCTGTGCAATTTAAGCGTTTCCGATTGGCTGGTGGAGGGCTAATACTGGTTCTTCATTGGCTTGCCTTATCTTTGCGGGGGTCTGACTCATTCGCCAAATTTAAGCTTTCCCATTGGCTGGTGAAAGAAAAATATTGATTTCTTATTGGTTTGCTTTATTTGACTTAAAGGAAAAATATATCCTTTTCAGTAAATAAGGAATATTGAAAAATTTCTGGATGTTTGACAGCAGATATTTTTAAAAATTTGTTGGATTCTACTGCTCGATCTCGCCATTTATACGAATTTGTATATTTATTTTACAAAATGGCATTTCATCGCAATGATTTGAGGTTCCTGCAAGGCCCAATACAGATCTTTGTTAGGAAGTTTACGCTACAAATAGCGAATATGTCGAATAGCTTTCAGTTGCCGTCTTGTCAAGTAATATGGATAATTCCGTTACCTCGTGTGCTCGTCAACATCAGAAATCTACTGAGATAAGGTAAAGATTCATGTCGATGTTCATATAAACAATACTCCTATAAGTTCGTATAAACTATAGTCCTATAATTTGCTATGTTAACTGTATATTTGAGCGTGGTTCTGTATTAGCATATATTTGCATTCGCCCGTCGTCGTTCGGTCATAAGGTCGATTATTGTATTGTTTATTTGTATCAAGTATCAACCACGATTTACTGTATGAATTTACGTCTAATTAACAAACAGCCTATATGCATAATACTAGATCTAGGCGCGTAAAGAAGATTTAAATATTTGTAAAATCATGTAATCCATGTTTATGTCAAAAAGTACAACGTAATCATGATTACCCACCAAACCAATATGGCAATTATGAATTATAGCGCATTATCAACAATATTGCCCAACTGCGATATTTACTGTAAAGTGTAAGCGGCATTAAGCACATATTATATTTGGCATGTAGCATAGCTTGGAGCAATACTAGCTTATGCTGTAACAGTTATGAATATTATTCAGTCACTCTTACAAATTGACCGCATTCATGTTTTTATTCCATGCCCATGGGTGTAATTTCCTATTATTGCCTGTTATTTCGGCTCACGTGTTTCTGCTATTAAAACTGAAGGCTCAGTAAACATTTGAACGTTAACATTTTTAATGCGTACTTTTCGCGTATAATTTTTGTATAAATTTCGCGTTCAGATGATAAGTTAATAATTTTTGAAATGTCATTATTCCGGGGGGGGGGCGGCAATTGAACCACCTCCCCGTTTTTACATCCGATATTTTGACTAACGTGCGAAAAATCCTAGATCCGCCCCTGACTTCAACACAGGATATCTTATTATGAACAAGCTATTTGGCATTGTGTTTAGAAAACGAAAAGGGCACAAGTTTCACTGTTAAAAATTAATAAAATAATAATTGAACTGTAACCAACTATAGTAACGTGTGTA